TAATAAAGTGGGATTCAAAATCATAGTGCGTGTTGTAATCGATTTTACAAACGCTTCGTAGTCGCTCATTAACTTAGTTTGATAATTAGTTATAAAATCACAATTCGCAAATTGACTATTTGATTAGAGTTAATATTAATTATAACTAGAGTAAGTACATTGTCCTCGTGGGATCAATATCTTATTCACAATTCTGATTTAGCAATTTGACAGGTGCAATTCCACGAGTTGGGTAATCTGGAGAACCTCAAGGAGTTGAGCATGCAACTTAATTTTCTTAATGGCTCTATAGCAGCCAGTATCTTTAACATTTCATCATTGCAATTTATTGAGATTGGTCAATGCAACCTATCTGGTAACTTTTAATTAGATTCAAAACAATTTTTGTGTTTGTCCTTTGTATGTTTATACAGAAATTTAAAGAAAGTTGTTTCTTTTTGTAGGTGCAACCCCCCAAGAGAATGGCACTCTTTACAATTTGAGATTCATTGAAAAAATATACTTGTCTCGGAACAACTTCATTAGAAAATCTCCAGAATTGAGCTTCATCACTTCATTGACAAGCTGTAGATATTTAACAGAATAGGCTTTTGACAAAAATTCTTTGAATGGCATTCTTCCAGTTTCAGTTGGAAATTTGTCAACTTCTCTACAATTTTTTTATGGTAATGGTTGTGGTCTCAGAGGTAGCATTCCAAATGAAATTGGCAATCTCACCAGTTTGATAACGTTAAGTCTGTTAGGCAATGAGTTGACATGATCAATTCCAGTAAGCTTGGTGAATTTGCAAAAGCTTCAAGGATTAGCTCTTCATCTCAATAAAATAAGTGGATCTATCCCAAACTCTCTCTGTGAAGTGTGAACTTCACAATTTATATAAATTGGCATTGTCACAAAATCAAATAACAGGTGCTATTCCAAGGTGCATAGGGAATATTACTACATTAAGTTGGAGCGACTAATACTCAATGGTAACGGCACGTAGGAACTCGGTGCTCAATATGATTGGGCCAGAAATGTTGAATGATTTTGAATATCTTTGAGCCCGATCATGCAACAAATCCATAGCCAGGTCGATGTGCTACGTTAGGAAATATCAATAAAAAAAATAGGAGTTATTTCATTTAATAAGCAAAAAATCATGTATACATAATAAATAACAATTGCGATACATCGTAGGCGAGCCAACCTCCCGAAGTTGTGATATCTTGAAACCACTTATAGACATCCGGAATCGACCTTCCAGCTATCGTGTGGCTAGCTCTAAAAAAGAAACAGAAAAACTGTTAAAAAGAAGCATAGATGAGTTAGCGTTACGAACTTCACTAAAATCATAAAATACTTACCCGGACATAATTCTTCTCCACTTTGTCTCGAACGCTTTCCACTTGGCATGGTCCACCTCCCGGAAGAGATTAGGGCACGTCCTGTGGACGAACGTCCTCCTTTTCACCTTAGTCGTGGAGGGATAAATGACGTACTGTAATGACAATCTTGACTTATTACTGACTACCTGCTTCGGCATGTCAACAGCACGCTTCTTACCCTCTGTCACGATTGGTGTCCTCTCCTCATTTGCCACCCCTTTTGCCCGGGACTCGCCATCTCCTTCGTCATCAGGGCAACCCCCTCCGCTTCTAGTAGCACCACCTTCTTCGTCATTTTTTTTCATTTACACTCTAATTGTTATTGTATTGATTTTGCAATGTGATGAGCTAAAGGAAAAAGTCAATTAAATTTTACAATGATGAATCACTTGCATTAACGTTTGTGATGCGTATTCTGTGATTCTCTGTGCCTTTCAAATCTATAATGAATTTGCGTAGAAAGGAAAATAAAATGCTAGTCTAAATGAAGTTACAAAGTTGATAAGAAAATGAACAAGTATTACTGGACTTGGAAATAAAGTAAAACTTTGATGAATTTAATTGCATTTGCACCTTATATAATCATAAACACAATGACTCGCTTCCCCGATGATCATTACAACACAATAACAGTAAGAACTTTGCGTTTACTATGAGATGTTTTCTATAAGATTAAAGAGAAAGCCTAGTGCGCAGAACGAGTGAATAAAGAAGGTCAGGGAAATTATTCATCAGGATACTTATCTTGCGGTAAACCTAACTACTGCTACTACCTTTGCAAGAGGATCATGTCAAACAAAATTATATGCCTTCCAAATCAAAAGTCAAGTTTGCTATGTTTGTTTCTCTTAATTTCACATCCAAAACAACTTCAGCACCCCAAGCAAGCAATTCCCAGACACGGTCCAAAGAACCATCATGTGCAGCCAAATGAAGAGGTGTACTCCTTGGGTAGTTACAACTATTGTTTGTCATTATAACTGATAAATACAAGGAAAATGCTAAAAGAACTTGATTAAAGGTATACCTATATCCACCAATAGAAGCACAGACAAAAGCCTCATTGCTCAATAGAACATGACCACAATCTCATCGTCTTTGACAAACTGCCAAATATAGTGGAGTTGCACCACTTCCATCTCTTATAGTAACAAATCTCAAAAACCTCATGGCCTCCCATTTGAGCACAATAATTAGCTCATTGTTTTGAATAGACAAAATTGGTGTATATTAGTATAAGACAACATAGGGAAGAAATCCTCACCAAGATTGTGCAACTGAAGTACAATGAGCAGCAAAAAGGATTAATTGTAGGCAATCTATATGACCGTAGTAGGCTGCATAATGCAAAAATTGTTCTCTAGAATGCCTCTTTGGTAAGCCCTTTCAGATTCTGCAGCTACGGATGTCACCTAATCAATAAGGGGAAAGCAAAAAACAATAATTACGCAGTTAGGAAATATCAATTTAAACTTTAAGAATTTTTAATCAATTTACAAATAGAGCGTTTGCTTTCGTCATTATCATACAACCCGAGAACCATACAGAAATTTAGAACCTATATGGCATCCACATCATCATATAAGAATGGTTTAGTAATACAAAACCACAGACACTATCACATTCACCAATAAATACGAATAGTAATGTAATTTTGACATCTCTTACGATAAGAGATACAAAGACATAAATAGAAGCAGATCAGCCATTGGATGGTTAATTGCCCAATTTCTTTCGGTGATCAAGCTTATGACCAACTTTAGTTTACTAATGGTCCTAAGAAATCATCCCAGAATATGCCTGACGCAAAAGATAAATAAGGAGGGACTTACCTGTTTGTAGCTTCGACCATTACCAGGGATAAAAAGAACAAGAATGCCATTAAGCTTCTTAAGGTGCACATTAAAACCAATCTTTCTCCATCCTTCATGGTATAGAAATAAACTATACTTGGTGGATGACACGTTTGCTGGTGTGGAGATGGAATGTACGTGGGCAATCACCTGTTGTCGCAGGCAAAAGTTGCCATCCTTAAGTAAACAATCAGAAAAAAGCATAAAGTGATCGAAACTCTAGTAAAAGCCAATAGAGAAAGGAAAAAAATCAGCATAAAAGCGAAGTGTATCAAATGATAGTTATGTGTATAAATCACGCTAAACTTTCAATAAACCCTCTTGAACTAAATGCAGACTTCAAACCAATTAACAAAAGATGCAAAATCGTAATATAGAAATCATCAAATGTTACAGAAACATTTAATTGAACCTCCTAACAAAACGATTAGCACAAGCTAATTTAGATCTTTAATCTTTACAACTCATATAAAAATCTTTTCACATAAGAATCCCATCATAATAAAAACTGCCAAACCCATCAAGAATTGAAGTTCACCCGAAAGATGAAATACAAATGTAATGAATTAAAACAAAATAGTTGGACTATTTTATGAAGTACCTGATGGGAGATTGAGGTGAGATAGTGAAGTAGAAAGAATTAAGTGATTTGTGCGGACTAATTATATTCAAATATTTAGTTTTCTTCTCAATAAATTTGATCTTCTCAGAACGATTGATAATATTCTCATAGCAATTGAGACATGTATGCACTCTACAACCTTCCTAATCAATTTAGACATCCAATTAAGGTCAACTTTGAAAGTATCTAAATACATCCCAGCTATATACTTTGCAGTTTTATGCCTATTTGTTCCATTCCCTAGAACAAGATATAAAAAAAGTTGGGTTTCATTTTTTCTTTACCTATTTGGCTTCACTGGATAAGTCTTAAGCATAAGGGAAGCAAGAATGAGAGCACCCGAGTCCCTCATGCTGTCTGATACTGACATCATGGAGACATCATCGAGATCGGAATTTATTTTTATTGTTATTGGACTTTGTTATTTATGTTTCCTATCATTGGTCTTGTAGTAGCGTGTTGGCCCAAACCCTTCAAGTTAAGTTTTTGCTATTTATCTGATATTTTCATTGTTGTTGAATTAGTAAATGATTGAATGAAATTACGATTGGTTCCTTCATGTTTCTTTCTTCCTCGCTGCTTCTTCCTTTCTACTTCTCTTTCCTATTCTACATCAAATTGGTATCAGAGCTAAACTTGGGAATTATTCTACACAATCAATCCATAGACACCAACCATAACCTGCAAAATCGTCACTTGCTTACGCACAAAACCACAAACTTCCGCTGCTACAATCACCCATCCAACACCCTCAAAACCACCTTCTTCGACGCGGGTTCAAACTCCTCTTGCCCACTAACATAACCCGCTTCTATTCCGGCGAAGAAGAAGAAGAAAACAGTGGAAGCAATCGGCCCAATAAATACAATACACGTACATATCATCGAGCCCAAAAACCTCACAGCCGTTGGCTACCACTTCGGCGTTCACTGATTCACCAATTCCCAGCTACACCTCCACGATTCACCCTTGTCGATTCCACCGCCGGTAGTCCACAATTTTTCTATAGCAGACGCGGTTATTAAGTGGGTAGTTATTTCAATTTGGGTTCTGCTATAGTTTGGGCCCCCTGCTTTTGTTATATGAGCCTGCATTTTAGTGAATTTTGATTTGATATTGGGCCCTATTTTTGTAACTTATTTTAGCAAAAAAAAAAATGTGTGGAAAAAAATAAAAAAAGAGTCTGTTTGGTATTATTTTTGGGCCACAGTTGGGCCTGTTTAGTTCTGTAACTTGATTGAGCTGCCGTTTGGGCCTCCATTTTTTAGTGTAATTTATTTATAGTTTCAAAAAAGAAAAAAAAGAGAGAGACAAAAAAGGAGAGTATTTTTTCTAATATTTTGCAGGTACCTTTCTTTGACCTACTGATCGGTTCAATTCCTTTGACGAACAAAACGAGAGCTACTGTTTCTTTGTCTTTAGTTTATATTACTGTTTCGTTTTAAAATTGCAAGATTTTAATTTTTGTGCTACTATTATTTTAATCTTTATCCACAATTTACGCCCTTAAATCCCTAATCTTGTTATATTTCTACTTTTAACCTCCTTATTTTATGAGATTAAGTTGCATACTAGTATTTTGACATTTGTTTTATCATTTTACATAGATCAACGGTAGTAGCTTGCTATAATTGGATTTACATAATCCCAAAATAAAACAAAATAAAAATAAAATAAATAAATAAATAATTTTTTGATGAGGTCGTTCTTTTCGATTTTAAAAACAAGTTGTTTATTGATCTCTCCATATCCTTAAGGCATTGTTAGCGGCCATTGTCTCATATAATTCCTCAACTTCGCTGGGTGACTTTAATATGATAGATCCATTTGAAAGGTATTTGCTACTTTATTCAGAACTTGCACACCGACTCAAGGTATTTGCTACTTTATTCAGAACTCCAGATTTGTGTCTCAAAACAAATGGAAATTTCTGCAAATAGGTTGACCACCGAGCATGCATATTGCTTAAACTCTAACACCAATTTTCGGTCCAATTCTTCTTCAAACTCTAACGCCAATTGTCCTACATCATGCATATGCAAATTCTCAGAGTTGGTTTACCTTTAATGATCCAATGAATTTAAACTTTAGCTTAAATAATACTCGAAGAAAGGGAGGTTTGTGTTATTCAACAATCTCATAATTTTCTAGTGGATAGGTACGTATTACTTAAACATGAATTTAGGGAGGTTTGATTATTTATTGAAAATAAATGGGGTGTCATGGGAGATACCCATTCTTCAAGGTATTTGCTACTTTATTCAGAACTCCAGATTTGTGTCTCAAAACAAATGGAAATTTCTGCAAATAGGTTGACCACCGAGCATGCATATTGCTTAAACTCTAACGCCAATTTTCGGTCCAATTCTTCTTCAAACTCTAACGCCAATTGTCCTACATCATGAATATGCAAATTCTCAGAGTTGGTTTACCTTTAATGATCCAATGAATTTAAACTTTAGCTTAAATAATACTCGAAGAAAGGGAGGTTTGTGTTATTCAACAATCTCATAATTTTCTAGTGGATAGGTACGTATTACTTAAACATGAATTTAGGGAGGTTTGATTATTTATTGAAAATAAATGGGGTGTCATGGGAGATACCCATTCTTCAA